CCAACTTGATGACATTGCAGAAGGCCTGTGGGCTCGTCTGTGGTGAGGTGATGAAGCGGTGCGCAATCACCGCCATCTCACCAATGCTGCTGGCCATGTCCGCAACAAGTGGGCCGGAATAAAAGAGTTCTACGCCTACACCCTGAAATGTTCTCCAATAGCTGCGGAGAGGTTCACCCGTGTCCCCATGAAGTTCTCCGCGGTGCAGTTCTCCCAACGAGCTCCAACAGGAAAACGCACGTTTGTCAGCCCAAGCGGTGACCCGACTCAAAGCGGACTTCTCGTTGGCTCCTGCAGATCAACATGGAGCTCCAATCCACTGGCTATAGAGTAGAAGAACATGGAAGACCCCTCCGGGTCCATGTCCAGTCTGCGACGGGGGTCGAAATCATACCTGGGCTTGGAAACAAGGGTTGGAATCCTAGGCTTGTTTCCCAATTCCTAGGTCCTGGAGAACATGCCCGACCAACAGTTACAAACAATTCCATGGTCTGAGCCCTTTTTGAGCCAAACACCGCAGCTGCACCCAGTTGCTCGCCTTGCCAAGCACCAGATATTTCACGGTCTCTGAACAGGGAGGCACCTCAGTGCAAGTGCCAAGGAGGATGGTCCATTGTAACTGTAACTAGGGTAGTTGAGATACTTACAAATCTTACAACATATAGAACTTTAAGTATCTTTAAGTTGGGTTGTTTTTATGGACAACGTGTTCAACCTCCAATGTTTGGAGCTCTCTGTTGCTTGTGAGCCGTGGAGAATGCAATTGTCTTGAACTATCCTCCATGGGATTTGACATTATGAGGTCTGCACCCAGGAGTGTGTTGTCATCCACCGGACCATGTCATGTGATTTAAGCTCTTAGTGTGAAGGTTGTCCTACATGATCATCCCATATTCCAAGTGAGGCCTCTTTTCATTCAGCAAGAGTTTGTGAGGGTTTCACCGGTGTCACGGTCAAACATGGATCACTTTGGCAAGACCCTCACATCGGGGCACTCCCCCGGATCATATGTTTTCTCGCGTGTCGCAGGCAGGACTGCTCTGGCAGGACCTGTCACGAAAAAGGACAAGTTGGCTTCAAACACTGGCTGCGTCTTGGGCGCTCCCCTATCATAACCCCCCACAAACGAACAGAACAAGACATATATACATAACAGGACAAGGGAAGACTGACTAAGGGTCTAAAACAAAAGGATCAAAACTTTTGAGGGGTGGGGGGGAGAAACAAACACCAATCGATGCGATCTTTTTCAAATGATGGTGGCTCCTTGGGTGCCCCGCTGGGACAGAGCCTTTGTACATGTAGCTAGGCCCTGAGGTGACCTCCTGCGCGTGCGGTTTCACTGCGGGAGCAGGGCTCAAAAAAGCCCGGTGCCACCCGCCTTGAAGTGAAACTGGAGGTAAAGCAAGTTCTTGGACCACATCTTACATCAAGCGCCTGGTTTCAAGTTCCAAGCGCTATAGCCTGAACCTGCAGGCACTGGAAGGATGAGGGAAGGTTTCGAACGCCCGAAGCCACGAACATTCCATGAGAGTCGTCTTAGAAACTGCCGCGCAGTTTCACCCAGTCAGACAGGTCAGACAGTGACGATTTAGCCTTCTTCGGATTGGAGGCCGTGGATTCTTCGGACATGGAAATAGGATTCTTCGCGTTCGGACTGGAGTGGGGTTGGATAAACCATTACAAATGACCTAAAGCACAGAGCGAACCACCGAAAAGAACCACCCTCCACAGTCTACACTCTATACAAACCCAACCAAAAAATAACATTATATATTATATATATGTTGGTATTACATATACATAACCGCCGCGGCCCAGCTTTCTCAATGCTCACGCGCACGAGAAAGCGGAGCACCAAACAAGACACGGACATCTCCGGCAACCTGCACGTCGTCCACCCCAATCATTCGCGTGGAAAAAGAATTCATTTGGGAGGGGTCAATCAGGTCCTGGAGGGGTCAGAAGTTGTACAGGGGTCACGGCCAGAGCTCCTGGAGGAGGGCAGGCAAATCCAACAGCTCCTTCTGCGCTGTCCATTGACCCTCCGCGGCTTCCAGCTCTTCTGGCCCCTGGAAGAACGAACGGTTCGAATGCGACGAGTTCGTCGCTGATGAGAAAAGGTCTGACTGTCAGGCCAAGGAGATCTGAGATGGTACAGTACAGTGTTCAGACTTTGGTTTCTGTCTCAGACAACCCATTTAATATTGCAGTAAATAAATCCAGACAATGTATATGTTTGTCAAATTGTTGAATAAACAAGTTGATACATGATACATGTTCATCTTTTCTCATTTGATTATACATGGGAGCTCGGTTGGTGATCACCTAAATTAAGCTCAACATGATTTTCGAAAAGTGCTCATGAAAAAATGAGTGCCCCATCTCACCAAATTCCATCAATTATTATTATGAGCGCTGCATTTGGCAGTTTTCGATTTCGAGACAATAGTGCTAAACACTACTCTTTTTTGCCACCATCTTTGAAGGCCGAATGACATTCCAAGAGCTCTCAGCTCATCAGTCTGCACTCACCCAGTTCTGCACTCACCCGACATGTTTTTCTCGACATTCCGCCATGTGGGGTGATTCTCGCCTTTGGGAAACCCATGTAGCTGAAGAGTTCGCTTTCGGCTGACTCGTTCTGCTCGAAGAAAATGCTCACCACCTCGAGCAACGGGTGGAACTCCGGTGGATTCACGTAGCAGAAACTCCAACCGGGGGGGCGCCGGTGCCGGCGGAAAAGAAGATATGGGAAACCTGGTTCCAGGTGTCCAAAGTGGAAACGCGGGCACGCGTCGCAGTGGTATGGTGTCAGGGTCGGCAGCGGCCAGTGGAAACAAGGCGGATGGATCTCCGACGCACCGGTTTGTTGGGTCTTTCAAGTGAAGGTTTTAAGAACCCGCCAGCCAATGATCGCTGGTTCATCACCCATCAAGACCCGTCAAGACTTTCCATGACACCTCTAGACTCTAGACTGCCCCTGTTTCGCGGGCATGCTGCCTGCCCCATCACTTGACGCCACGGCCCCGGGACTGATGAACAGTCCCACAAAAGGAATGCGCGCATATATATATATATATACAGCATGGACCAGCTCCAAGCCAATTACAGTTAATATAGACTCTTGATTAATACACTGTTACACCCTCCTTTTTTTTGGAGTGAACATCCTCTTCAAAGGCGGGGGGTTTATTGATCAAGAGTCTACCTTATAGTGATCGCATGTGATATCAAATGTTGACTTGCTGGTCGTCCTCCACAGGAAATGGGCCCCCGGGCCACGCCACCTTTCAGCATGTCTGGATGGTCCTTGGGTTTGTGGAAGATCATCAACTCTGCCTCGAGAATCCAACTGGGAGTGCGAACATGACAGCGGCTTGAACGAAACGACGGATGGAATTATAGTTGAAACGGTCCTGCAGGGTAACATCAGAATCCCCTATGAACAAGCATGGACAGTGTGTGTGTGCGTGTGCGATTGTGTGTGTGCTTGCTTGTTTGCTGGCTGGCTTGCTTGCTTGTTTCGTTGTTTGCTTGTTAGATCGTTTGTTTCTTTGTTTGCTTGTGTTTTGGAGTGTTTTGGTTGTTTGATGGACCTTGGAGGAAGACCTTTCACCGGGCTTGCGCAAAAAAACAACGGGTTCGGAGGCACCGAACAGTCGAGTTTTCGCAGCGAAGACGCGGCGAACACGGGGGAGCTGGCAGCCACGCTGGGGACGGACAGTCTGCATCACCTTTAATGTAGTTCCCCGATGTAGGTGGGATTTGAGCGCCCCATGAATAGTTGCCTTCAAGCACCAGGATTTGAATAGAATGTCCAGGTTGAATGGCTTCCATAACACTTGGCCGTCCAATATGTTTGAAGCAGGTCATTGACTGGCTAAGGGCCAGGAAACGGATCTACAAGCCATTGACACAAAATCCCTGTTGATAGACCACATCACGGCGAAAGCCGGGATCAAACGACGACCCTGTGAAAGGAGGTGATTAACTTATAGTAATACATAATGACACACACACATATGACAAATATATAGATAATACAGTGTATATATATATACATATATATATATATATGCACTGTATATATATATATATATATAATATCCTTGTGTCCTTGTCCCGTTGTGTCATGGGCGACCCCCATTTGGGTAGATCATGATAGATCAAGCCCCTCCATTTGAAACATCGAAGAAGGGTCTGAAACGAGATTTCAAGCCACTCCACCACCAGGGTCTGGGGGCCAAGGTGCCACTCTGCTTTGGCCATCCATGCTATGCCAGCTGTCGGCTGACAGGTGAGCCTGGCTGCGGGCCGCTCCCGACTGGGAAGGCGGTCCGGCCCCGCCTTTTTGGAGGCATCTGTCCCTTTGGTCCCTCCCGGTGGCAGCCAGGCTGTTGGTGTCGCCCGACTTTATGCCATCTGTATACCAACAAATCAAGATATTCGTCCATGGTGAAAAGGTGAAGGTCGCACTCGTCCCAGACCTGCAGGACTTCAGAGGGCTTCCAACTGAGCATGCCAGCCACTGGACATACAACTGGTCAACATGTGTCAACTGGTGCTTTTCCCTTCATGGGCTTCACATAGGTTCACACACCTCACGTCCTGAAACTTCTCACCTCCACCCACCCATCCCGGTGCCCCGAAGGTCAACATCAGTCCCTCCACACCTCGTGCGCGGTGTACTGCTGCGGGCGCCCCTCAGCATCCTGCAGTGGTCGTGGCACGGTCCCCAGGGGGACCCAACTAGGAGGATCCGAAGACGTTGGGGTCGGAGGAGGCTTCGGGTCGATGGTAGCAACTCCCAGCTGCGTCAGGGGTAGCTGAGACTCATGCAGCTGGAACCCTTCACCGCTACGCTCTCCTTCACTGCGACGTTGGTGACATGCTAGGATAATTGATCTAGAGGAATCACGGGCAAAATAAGAATCACCACCTAAGCAGGATGTTCACAAACAGCTCCATCTACTCTTCCACTCCACGATTGGCTCAAATGACGAAGAGACCGCCCCCTTCCTCTTTGCTCCAAAAATCCACTGAAAACGGGACCGTAGGGCTTCTTTCGCACCGAAAACCGAACGCCCCGTCCAGGCCTGGAGGTGCAACGAGCCAAAGTCCCCCTTCACAGCGGCCGAGCGCATGTAGGAGCTCACCTGCACCTCACAGAAGCGTGGGTCCACGCCACGCACCCGGGGGTTCGCAGGGGTTTGGGTTGAAGGTGTAGCGGAAAGCGGGGCTGGGGTGTGGATGTTGGGGCCCAAGTCAACCATTTGAAAAGCCAGCACGGCGTGGCCCTTCCACTTCTACAACTTTCCAGGTAGCGATGCAAAGGTGTGCAGCGTGTAGCTGTACAAGCTCAAATTCTATTCAGGGTCATCACGGCTGAGTATCGCCTGCATATTGCACTCTCCTGCATTTCCCTCAGTGAATGTCACAATCAAATTGGCCCCGCTGCAGGAAGAAAGACGAGACTCCAAGACTTACTGACTGCTTTCGAACAAAGATCCACCTCTCACCTCTTCACCTGTTCCACCCTCCGTCTTCCCCCTCCGCACGTCCGACGCCGCCGGCCCCGGCCGTCTCTCGGCCAATGGCCGAATAGGCGAAGGCGCTCTGCAGGAGGCCATCCTCGCGGCCGAAGAGGAAGGCTGGGAAGCTTCAGAACCCGTCGGACAGAAGACCGCCAAACGACCACGGACGGAAGACGTGACGGACGTCCCGATCGGGACCTGCCTTCTCTCTCTTCGTTGGCCCGGTCCACAAACCGGCGGGTCGGATCTTTGGGAAGCATGTTGCTCCGATCCGCGCTGGTCGGAGACTCGTGAGTCTACCGCCGCAAGTGGAGCACGAACAGCCACTTCATATGGGGGGTGTTATTGAGTCTATTGATCAAGGGATGTCAAAGGGTCTACAGTACATGACATTGATGCTTCTCTCTTGGATCGTACCGTTCCGGTCCCCCCACCACACGGCCGGCCGTTTCGACAGCACGCCTCGCCACCGCTCTTCACGCAGCTTCCATGCGTGGCGATGTCCATGGGCGATTGCCGATGACCCTCACACATGAGATACCTGGCAGGTCGAACCCCAGGAATCAAGTGGAACATCCAGCTGTACAGCATCCAAAGGTAGAGGTACAGCAACCCAGAGCACTACCAAGCTCTCTGGACAAGCTAAAGTTTGGGGGCTCAGCGCTATGGAGCTCAAAAAGCTGACAATAAGCTCCCAGCATGTAAAAACCCAAAACAACAAACCCGGCAGCAAAGCGCTGCCTGGCATTCTGTACTGGGAACGACACTGACAGTGACCGACCCGGAGGGAAGACAGAACGAGATTGAACCAAATCCGTTCTTTTCATTGGACCAGGTTATTTTCATTGTCCAACTGGTCTTTGACCGCTTTGGGTTGCTTTTCATTGGACCAGGTTTCACCAGTTGCGCACGCCTTCGACCAAGGGCTCCGCTCGCGCCTCTCGCCCCATTCCTGCTGCTTCACAAAGCTCCAGGCGTTGGGTGACAAGGGCCAACCAAAGGGAGACGCCTGGACCGACCGCTGAGGCCCCGCCGACAGCTGCTGGCTTCTAGAGGCAGGGAGAACCGGAGGCTGTGCAGACGGTCAACCACCAGCAAGTGGGGCACCCTTCATCCCAAACCCCCGCTTGTCCCAACTCCCCAGACCCATCCACCCAGGTGTTGCATCCTGCCATATCCTGCCTCTCCTAAGTATGGTGAGGTTGTCAAGGTCGGACAGCTGCCAATCAATCCCTGCACGGCCTCACGAGGGGCAGGTGGCGACGGGAGGTGGGCGAAGGCCGCAGCAAAGCCACTTGGAGCAAATCGGAAGGGTGATCAACTGGGAGTGATTTGGGATGATTGTAAGTTCTCCCTCTCTCTCTCTCTCTATCTCTCTACCCTTTGTTTTGGCCTTCCGTCCTTTGATGCAGCAACGTTGTTGGGGCTGCCAAGATGGACTTCCGTTCTGCAACGACGGGTGCTTTCGGCGGCGCTCGAAAGCTCTGGTGTCCGTGCGAAAGGGGCCTTCCAAGAGCTGAAGAGGAGCAGCAGTCTCATGGCAGCCTCGCAAAGCTGTCCATTGCCAGCAAGTCCAGCTGGCAAGAAAACTCCACTGGGAAGCATCTGACAATCTGACCCCTGGGGGAGAGGAAAAAAGGAACGATATTTTGGGCGGTGTGTATTCCAAAGCAGGTGTCAACCGGTCGGGGGCGTAACTCGCATTGTGGCACCGGGGATCTTGTTGGTACCTGCATTCCGTGGGATTGCTACGGGATATATAATCCCTTTGATGATTGCACGCACCGATCCATTTTCCGCCTGAAGGAGAACATGAAAAAATGAATAGAACAAGGATGTTGAACTATCAAAGCACAGGCATGCATCAGGGTTTTGAGGCAGCCAAGATAGCCAAGTCAAATGAAACTCCCCACACCTTCTACATGACACCCACCAACTCGACAGCCAGCCATTTCGATCAGAAAGGCTCTGCGGTGAGCCCTGATTTTACCGGATTCATTCCCAGTCAGTGCACACACATCCCCTCAAGGTGTAGGTGTCGCTAACCCTACCCACCAAAGCCAAGCGTTCAGATCCCCACGTCCGCCCAAAAAGCCCCCGCCTGCCCGGCGCCAGGCGCCATGCTGACAAAAGCCGGGCCGAAATGGCTTGTGCGAAAGACGTCAAAACAAGTCTTGCCGAAGAGGGCGTGGCCAAGCCTTACTAAAATATACTGAGCCGTTCGGGACATCTGGTCAACTTGAACCACCATGCTCCGAAGGGACCGACCAACCAACCAACCAACCCACTCTCACTTCACCTCAGCAACCACCTCCGATGCACACAACGCCACGCCACACCACGCGAATGCGACGCCACACCACGCGGGGGCGTGGACCCCAAGACGGTGTCGTTCTGGACCTGGGCGGTCTGATGTCACGCAGAGATGGCGCGGTGTCACCCACACAGTTGTCCCCTGATCTGGGAGCTAGTCATGACATAACAGGATATAGAATCCGGACTCCCACGCCTATGCTGGTTTGTAGGAACATGATGGAACATGTAAAAATGATCCTGGGCTTTACCCTGTGGACATCTACCATTGCATCCATGAAAACCAAGGGGTGGTGTATACCGTATACCATGTGTATTGCAAATGCCATTGATGAGCAGGAGTCTCAACGGTCACTACTGGCCGAGTTCGGTCACTTCAGGGTATCATGGGTTCCTCCAAGATCGGCATTCGCGAAAAGCACAGGGGCACAGGGAGAGCAACACAAAGAGAGAGAGAGAGAGAGAGATGGAAAAAACAAGGAACGTGGAGAGCTTTGAGAGTTAGAGAAGAAGGAAGAGGGAAATCAACATCTCCTACGCCCTACGCTTACAAACTGCTCTTGTTGAAAGAGCAGCTCCCCAGAACCTTACTGAAGCAGCGCTAGCCGCGGATGACCTCCTCCCTCATCGAGAGCCAAAAGCTGCAGCACCCAGTTTCCCACGCCAACGCTTCGACATCGGCCGGTTATAGTGTGAGACGGTCTCCTAACGCCTCATTTGAGGCGAAGAAACGCCGCCCCAAGGACTCCGCTTTCTCGGTCCTCCGTCTGACTACTGAGGCCCTTCATGGACTCCTGGGTGACCGGAGCTTGTTGCGATGCTGCTGCACCACCGCCGCGGCCGGCTCCCCCGCTGAGCCCCACAGCGCGGTGGCGAAATCGAGGTGGCGCCAGGCGGGAGGTTGGGCTAAGAGCTGCGTGAAGCGCAACTGATCGCCTCAGCGATCAGGGCATACCTGCATCCACCCAAAAGAACGGCATTGGTATATATTGGTGTGCTTTCACCCATCTTTCACCAAAAGCAATCCAAAACATTGCATACACAAAACAGAACCATGACGCAGCAATGTCAATAGACCCCCCCTAAGGGGTGTCCAACTATAGCTCCTTAGAGGTTAAAGGATGTCCATTACAGACATTAACCACCCCTTAGGGGGCCCTGGAAAAGAAGACCAACCACATTGGATTCTCGGAGTCTCCAGTTTCTACAGAGAGAGATGGGTAGTTCCGCCGTGGACCTGTCGTCCCAACGAACGAAAGTCTCACGTCGATCCCAAGACCGGGTCACAGGGCGAGCCGTCCAAGCCTAGAAGTGCCAGCAAGACTTGTGCCACCATACCTTGGAGTTGCTACTAGTAACAAGGGCAATACTACTAGTAACAAGTGCATTGCTAAGCTCAGAAGCTACGGACAGGATCAGCAAAACAAGTAAAACAAACATCACCTGATCAGCAAAACCAGGATACTCGCGGACACGTTGAGCTTCAAATGTTCGATGTAGTCTTGGAGGCCCCGGCGCGAGACCTGTCGGGTCGGATCCGCCGTTGGATCGGTTCATCGTCACCCAGTGCTGTAATAGGCTCCCCGCCATTTATTTGACAAAGACCCTAGCCTTCCAAGACTACTATATTTAGTTAAATCCAGTTGAGCTGAGTTCGTTAGTGTAAAATCCTTAGTAAATTCAATGGTGGCTCGGTACAGACTATGTCATTGTGACTAGACTATTGAATCAAGGGTGGTTGGAATGGTAAGGAAAATGTAACATGACAAACGAACCTGACCATGGAAACCCACGCCCCGCCTGGTCATGCATGGCAAGCTGCTGACACACCTCAGTCTCGATTGCCTTCTCCGCACTCCGCTCCCCTTTTGGGCGAATGCTGCGGGCGGTGGAACGGAGCTGGTGCTGAAGCTCCAGGATCTTGCCAAAGAGACTTAGACACACTGAAGGTAAGTCATAATGATCAAAAAACCGCTGCAGCCCCACCAGCTTCGAGGTCGTGATGTCATCAATGACCTCCTCAGCCAAGCAAAGCTCAGAGGACGCTTCCTTCAAGCGGCTCTGATGCTCTGCCGCGCGCTGGTTAGAGTCCTGCAACTCCACTTGGGTTTTCAAAAGCTCCTGGTGGAGCTTCTCCTTCTCAGCCTTCATCTGGCGGAAGTCTTCGGCCAATTTACTGAAGTGGCGTTCCAGCTCCTCTCGCTTTTGCGAGTCCTCGAACTGCTGGACGTAGCACTGCTTCAGGGTGCTTTGCAACTCCTTCACTTGCTCCTTGCATGAGGAAAGTTCACTTTCCAGCTCCCGCACGCGTGTCCTCTCCGTTAACAGCAAACCATCCGTATCCAAGCGCCGACCATGTAGTCGCTCCACATGTTCCCGAAGCTCCGAGACGGAACCTTTGTGCTGTTCCAGCTCTTGGTGATGCGTCTCGCGCGTGCGTGACCGGTGCGCCAGGGTGCTGGCGCGGCGCCAGAGTCCGAAGACCTTCTTTTGCCAAAGCCAGCGCCACTTGCTGCGTGCCCGAGGCGAGGACTCCACAAGGGCCTCCGTAGCAGCCATGGTGGTGGCAGTGGTACGCATCTGCCAGTGGTGGCAAGCTAAGGCGAAAGCATGGAAGACCCTGCTCTTCAGCACTCGCTCTTGATGGTGCTTCAACACGAACCAGAAGGACTCCAAATGCTCCACGAAGCGCTCGCGCTTTTGGGCCAAGGCCTCCGCCAGGTTCGCAGCTTCGAAACGCGCCTCGATCAAGTCCTGCCGGGTTCGGTGCAGCTCCTCCGTCAGGTTGATGGTGCCGCTACTCAGCACCGAGAGCATGGCGTGGATTCTTCACGCGTCGAACGAGTGAAACGCGAAGGAAAAATAGCTTACAACTCCGCGGAGTCTTCCCTACGAAACGCAAACTGATTTGGTGCATGTCAGCATTTCTTCGAACCGCCGTGTAATGTGCTACCTGGTTCAACATATTTGAATGCTGAAGCATTTTTGTGCCTGCTGTTGGGCAGCGGAATGTGGGAATATATGTGCAGCCCAAACCTCCAAGTACTTGCGATGACCTCTTCCACCAAAGACCCTCCCAACAAATCGACCCGTGCACTCATCGCCACCGGGGGTGTCCTCCTATCGCGGGGTTTGGTCATCGCGCGGCTTCTTTTGTTCCAGCTTTCGCTACGCCCCGGTCACAACCAATTCGCTGTGCGTTTGCGCACCAACTCACAGGCCCGGGAGGATCCAAACAAATGGGTGCAAAACGGCGCGACTCTGTGTGGCAACCCGCACGACTAGTAGAGGTACTGCAAACGTTGTCAAGAAACACGCGAAACTGCCAAAGGGATGGCGAAAATGATTTTATCTACCAGGCATAGTCTTTTGTGTTTTCTATGTCAGCAATTGGGATCTGAGTGACGTGACCCGTTCGTGCATTGGAGATCCCATCAATGCCCTCTCTTCGTTGGGACGTCCCCTTCTTTTGTTTGCTGCTGGCACTGGTGCCAAGATGTTGCTGGCAAGGTGAGGAGGTGTCAAGCCAATTCAACTAATGGGACATCCAAAGCAGGCGATGAGCGTTCCATCTTCTTGTAATCTCTACATGCGATTGAGTGTGGCCAAGACTGAAACCATGCGGTGAAACGAAGAGCAAGTGGAAGAAATCCTACACTGCCGGGAGGTTGGGGAACATTGATCCCTGTTTAATGGGGAATACTTCCTGAGTACCAGCTAGTACAACACCACACGTCGTCTTGTGACCTGACCATTGGCCACTGCAAAGAAACAATGGTGCTCGGCTCAGGGAAGCCTCCACAAGCCATCCCCGACATGCACCAACAAACACCTTGTAACCCATCTTTCTGGGCGTGCATTGGAATAGAGAGATTCGGGGGATCCGCGAGGATTGGTGCGGGCATTCCATCCTTGATCATGCGCTGCAATGAACTAACTAGCCCAAGTGATTCCTTTCGAAGGTCTTTGGGAGCTACGACGTGAAACGGAGCTTTCCAAACACCGAAAGACCACGGGGCATCGATCCGCCACGTGGTTTCACGGTGGTCGACGGAGCTTCCGCCAGTCAATCGAGTCTGGGCTGGTCACATGGCTGGTCATCTCCTCGGGGACGGCCTGGCGAGATGGAGGTTCTGGCGAGACGGCCTGGCGAGACGGAGCTGCCCTGGTGATACCTGGCCATGGAACTGGGATGACCCTCGTTCGGCCGCGGCTTGCTCCTTCACCACCTCGATGGATCCGCCCCCAAAACACCTGTCCCGCCCAACAATAAAACTCGGCCCAGCGCCAAGGACAGCACACGTCCTTTTTCATCTCGGACGCACACTTGCTGAAGGGCAAAACCGCCTTTAGAAACTTGGGGCAGCTGTAGCCTGACCAGGTTGAGCAAGCAAATCCAGGGACAGCATGGGGTCAAGAGAAGGCTCAATAAAGTAAAGTGATGGAACTAATCGAGTACAGTAAAATAGATACAGTGCGAGCGCAGTGGAAAAAGAGAAAGGCCTCATTCCAGTAAAATTTGGAAGTAACAAGTGCATCGCTACTAGCAAGAAGCTATAGTAGGTTGGAGGCCATCGCCATTAGGTTGGAGGCTATCGCTTCTAGCAACAAGAAGCTACTAGTAAAAACTATTTGCATCCACTTCAGCAATCCGCCACGGCCGGATTGGGCGCACCAAGTACGTAGCTAGCTCGGCCCACCGTGGCCGCTGCGGCCAGGGGGACGCCTAAGAACAGGAGCCTTGGCCAAGCAGGACAAGGAAGGACGGCCGGGCCAAGCACCTGTCAGCTACACAGGGGGCCAAGCTGAGTTGCACAAATATCAGAGATCAACAGATATCAGAATGTCACGCATGATTTTGTTCATCCCGAGATGAATTGTGTCCCGAACCATTGCAAGTGGATGCAAGTGGGCTGCTATCTGCAGCACTTTGAATATTGCAGCAGGATGAAAAGCAAACTATGTTCTTATTCTAGAGTTGATGTCCCAAACTTCATGCCAGCTAAAAAATCATGAAGCCCCTTTGGCCTTTGGCTGGGGAGAAATCGTACGAGCGTTCTCCACCAAGTGGCCAGAACACGACGGTGCGTCGTAAGCAAGCCACTTTGGACTCGTAACCTGCAGCGTTCAACATGTGAGTTGATGGGTTGATAGGGTTTTTGGGGCAGCCACTGAACACGCACGCCGCCACGCCACGCCACGCCTGTGTCCTGTGTTTTCAGGAAACGCCACGGGAAATGCCGTCCGACAGGAAGCCCAAACGTTTCAGCCTCCAATGAATCGTAAGAAATGTCCAGCCATCTGCTGCATCTGGATCTCTCATAGCTGCACTGCACCAGGGGTTGCGCTGGGTTTTTAGTCCAACACATGTCGCATGGATAGCTTGCGCCGAGTTGTCAATAGTGAAGGCCAGTCAGGGGGCAATTTGGGGGACCGCTGGCAACTCGAGAACCCAACTCCACCTGAAGATGACCAAATGGAGTGGTGGCACAATAACGTCCTGGTTGCTCGACCCCGACGTCCTGGTTGCTCGTCCAAAATCCGGTGGATCTCTCACCTGGTTGGTCCAATCCCTTTCCTCAGACCCTCAGACCTGTTCGAAAAGAGACTGAAGCTGTCATCCTGAGGTCCCAAAAATGAGATCCAGCCGAGTCTTCACCCCCCCCAGGACCTAAAGCATCACCTCGCTCACCAAGTGGCTGCTATCAAGCAAGCTGGGCTCATCTTTGGAGTCCCAACGGTCACAGTTCTGCTGCAGGTCCTGGAGGTCAGTTGGTTCAGCGCGGCACCACCACGCAGGTCCCAAAAATGAAGGGGAGGCGAAGCAAAGAACAAACAAAGCACTGTGACTAAGACTTAAGAGCCTTAACAGTGAAACATAGTGAAAAATTCACAGCCAGAGTTGGCTGGCATTCAGAGTCACCATGCAAGAAGGCCCCTTCGAATGGTGGATATGAAAAGGTCCCAATGCAAACACAACATGAAAATTGGATCATAGAATCAGAGTCATGTAATATACAACCATATATGCAATGACCGAGCTAGCTTTGCACCCTCACGTGTTCCACAGCCTATGGGGCCGGTGTTTAATGTGTTATTGACGCCCTCAGGTTCTCTAGAGATAAACCCGGCTCGGATGCTCCTAGGACCCTTTTTGGGCCCCTGGAAACCCCTGGAACCCCAAGAAAGCACTTGAGACGGTGATCTCCCAGATCTTCTTTGGAGGGGTGTCGGTTTTGGATCCACCTTCGACCAAATGAACCCCCGACCCGCCGAATCACCGCAGCCTGACAGCTGTGCAGCTCAGCTTCATGCTGGCGGTGCCTCGGCCGCCCGGGTCCCCCAGGCGCCCTCGGGTGCTCCGAAACCAATGGCGGTTGTCCAGGGTTTGGAGGACCTGGAAAATTGAACAAATCCCCGGTGATCGCCCCTGATCTTTCGAATTGCCATCATGTTGAGTATATTGCCATCAGTGTGGCGGGGGTTGTGGCAGCTGCGATGTCCACAACGCAGCTTTTGAAGGAATCAACGAGGCCATGACATCTCTCCCCTCGGCAAGGACGTTCGCCTAAGCCATTCTAAGCTTCCCCACACGAGACAAACATCAAACATCAAACCGTTCCTGGAACTTCTGCTGCTATATTGACATTCACGCAAAAACCATTGGGAACAAGTGTTTGCATGCAGCCGAGTGGTGCCTGTACTTAGGGGGGATGCAAATGCTAAGCTGCTAAATCTGCCTATATAAGTTCTGCGAAGCACCCGTGACGGGAGGTTGTTGAATGTTATTGAGACCAAACGATGCGTTCAAACCTCTGCGTCCGACCGGTCGTTCGCGGGTCGTTCGCGGACTCTGGCGGTCCGAGGCTCCTGGGAGAGTCATCCTGGTGCGAAATGAAAAACCTAACACATGGGTACACATGGCACCTCTGATTTGCGCCAGGAGGAGAAAAAATCTTGGAAGTCTGAAAAGAAGAAGGTTGATATACCGGTGACGTTCAGCCGCAAATCCGTGTGAAGAATCTACTAGTTCTTGCCAGGTACCATTCTGAATGTCCACATTGCCAGGTACCATTCTGAATGTCCACAGCCCACAGCATTCCACGTGTTCTTGCAAGTCACTGGCCGTCCGACACTCCAGAGTCGTCCAAGCCAACTACCTCTTTCTGCACCTCTTCACCCATGGTGGCGAAAACCTCCATCCCACCGGGATACACCCTTCTTCATGGGAAGTACCCTCTCGCCGTGTTCTTCTTCGCCCTTCTCTCGCTGCTTCGCCCCACCCCCACGCGTGTGTCGTCGCTCCTTCCGGTCTCGGTCCATGCGCTCCAACAAGAGAGCAGCGCAGTAGGTGCAGTAGACATAGTCCGAGAGCTCTCCAAACCTGGGAGCTCCAAATCCGCTCCCGTGACTCGGAACACTGACGTGGGGGGGAACACTCCGACGTGGAGGCTTCTTTCAGCTCCGAACATGGCAAAGGACACTGGATTTTGATGTCTTCCGCTAGCACCTAGCACCATCACTTGAATCCGAACACAAGAGCCTCTCAAATCCACATCGATCCGCGTTTGGTCGCCTCGCAAAGGACGCGTCCTGCACCTTCGTGGGGGCCAAGGCACTGGGTGAAGTTGGGCTTCTGAATCACCAAAGAGGCCAGGACAGTGCAAATGAAGCCTGCAGACCCCCACCCCGTCGGGGTTTCCCGAGGTCCGACTCGTACGTGACCAGACGTCTCTGGAAGAACCTACGGTACAACCCAAGCACGACTGCACCGGTGAGGATTGGTGGGTCGTGTGTCTGGGGAATCACCGACCAATCGAAAAAGCGCAGTCTATGGACATTGGAAGTCCTGGGGTGCAGCGCAAAGAATCTCTTGATCACATCCTTTCTACTGAGGCTCCAGCGCGTGGCGGGTCAGACCTAAGGACCTACCTACAGTACCTTCCTTCCCGTGGTGCGGCACATCTGCGCCAAGGTCTGACCCACTCGTCGTCGAGGGCGGCAAGTTTCCTCCACATGTCCCACTTTGACACACGGGCCTTTCAGGTAATCCCACAGTGCCGCGGTCGGCCCCACAGCAAAGGACAACAGGAAGAGCATCACCTGTCGGGCCGTGTCGGGCGCTTTCTCAGGAGCTTGGGAGAAAAGAGTGCCTCTCCGCCGGGCACTTCACACATGCAAGTGGAGTCCAAGTGGTGGAAACCACCGTTGACGTTCGTAACGGAAAGTCATCTTCCAAGCGTCCATGCCTTGTCTTTTTTCCATGTTGGTCGGAGGGCAACACCTTCTTACAAGAAGGTGTGATGTGCAAAGGTCCAAGCACCGTTCATTTTGTCAAACCCTAACCGTGGCCAATTTTTAAATAGAGTTTTGCTCCAGATGAGTTTGGATCCTTGTCAGGGCGTAGATGGTCGCTGGTTCCCATCTGTTCATCGTCACAACGCCCGTCTGGGCTCATGCCAGCTGAACACTGAACACCCCAAAAAGGTCTCGTTGCCCGGCGCAGTCTCTTCCCCCGGGCCTCATACCAGGTGAAAAGGCATAGACCTCACGGTGAACGAGGGATGGGGGGACGAGTTGCTGTGCATAGCTCTAAGGTAAGGAGGCGCAAGGTCAAGAAGGTTTTTCAGAAACGCGAGGCGCACCGCGCAGTGCGAGCTTCGCGTCCCTTCAAAACTGCTGATTGTGGCCCTGCAAACGTGAGTGCCCCCCCAAACGACGTGGCTGGGAAAAACCGCCGTGGCCAGCATGGCATTCCATGTGGCATCATGGCCCAAGCTCCAAGCTGTGTTGCTCCAGTTTTTTGCAAGACAGAAGTGACTAACAATTGGCTGTTCGATGGCGATAATCTGATATAGGCTGAGCTCCAAAGGCCAGTTGAAACGAGTGGCATCTGATGCGGATGCCTTGCCCGTGCTGATGAAGCAAACCTCGGCTCGTTGCTACAACGTGACTGGGCCTTAATCCAAAGTGCTGGGACACCATGGGAAACTTGCGAAGTCAATTGCGTTGGACTCACCTTGCACATCCCGCACCAAAGACGCACGTGAAGGGCTCAGCTGTGCTCAGCTCACCTGAGCCCTCGCGGGGTCAAGCGCCCAGAAGAGCCAGGAGCCCATGATGCAAGACTCTTTGGTTCAGCTACAGTACTGTGTGTTCATGGGAAGGGCTGGCCTGCAACCATCTTGGCCTTGTCTCGGTGACCCCCTACTCACGGCTCTCGACATCAAAACACTCACTTGGAACATGCTGTGTATGGAGGCCATAATTGCAAGATCCCTTCAAGTACCTGGGTGTGAGCAGGGTCAACCACCCATCCCCTACTATGACAACTAGGCCAGCTATGAATCCCACATCCACCCACCGATGTCTAAAACAGCTCAGCAGCACCGCTGAGTGAAGAGCCCTCGGTGAGTCGCCGTGTGTCGCCGTGGAGCCGGGGGTTTTCAGGAGACAGTCGTGAGCTGGTGTGTCACTGCTTTGGATCCAGGGGACCTTCAATTCGACTATAAAATTCAACTCAACGTTGATATGAATGTTGCTTCTGGGTGGGTCTCATACACATTTGGTGAACGGCGTGTTCCTTCAGAGAACACAATTATATACTTGTTGTAGCCCAATGTCCATTTGACAGCTGACATGGTTATCGTTTCTGGCGGGGGCCCGAGCATTTTCCAATACCCACAACATCCCCTCTAGACTATCGCTTCAAGCGGGCCGAAGCATAAGCCACATCGCTTTTCCTGGAAATGCTGCCCTAAGCATAGGCCATGGTAATGCCGGGCGTGACACGTCAAGCTAACCGATGATTCTCCCTGCATGTGGTCACCAGTGGTCCTTCCATCTCAATCCTCATGGGACAAGCTGCTCGTAACAAAGTGTGCCAGCAGCACTGTGCCCAAAAACGCGCCATAAGTCAGCACAGGCCAGATCCGTTGCGCGTGGACGCTGCGCACTTCTCCCTGAGGACGACCAAACGAGCAAGCATAACGAAACGATTAAACATCGCTCGATTCGGGGGATGACGACCAAGCATGGACTGCCTGGCATCTCAACTGTGACAAGCAGACGCAGTTTGAGAAATGCTCCACTGTTCAAACACAGCACTAGAGTCACCAGAGTTTGCTCCGAGCCCTTCACTTCACACACTTCAACGTCTTTTCACCCGAGCTTCGCACGTGAAACAGAAGAGGGGAGGACGACGGAAAAGGGAACTCAGACTAAAAGCAAGGCGCTCGTGAATTTTCATGTGGGTCCCCTTCCTTGTAACTTAACGATGAACGCGCGACGCATGTAGATGAACTCCAACCGATAGTGCCCAGTCATCCTTGTGCTTAGCCCATGCCTCTATAAACTGCATTAAACTGTTCTATATTGCAATATTTCTAAATTTATCTAAATATGGCAACCCGTGTATATATTAATATATATATATATATGTTTTTAATTTATATATGTATATTGTATAAGTGCTATGTTGTGTACAAGACCGATGCAGTCCTGCATCCTTCTCTTTCCTGAGTGCCGTTGCTCAACCCAGCGGTCGCTGTCCCACTCGTGCCAGGACACCGGCTGGCCCACGAGGATCAAGCAGCCCAGGGCAAAGGAGAACACCCTTGGCGCCCAGGGAAGGTTCCCGAGATCTCGAAGGTCAGGGAACACCATGGAAGGACTAGGAGACCCTCCTTCTTCAGCGCTGGATACGTGTTTCTCCCAACCCAACTGCACGCATCATCACAAGCGCTGACCATTTGGAGAACAGACGGCGACATCAGTTGGCTCCCCTTTGGGGAATCTAAGGATCAGCTATATAATGCCAGTACCTTTCAGCCAGGTGACAAGACCAGGATCCAAGAAGCATAGAAGAAGTGCCAGAAAACCTCAGGATGAGGGAGGCCCAAAAAGAAGCTTCAGAGGCCTTGTGGACTCCGAAGGTCCTAAATGGACTCCTAAGACCTGGATCTTATGGGCACAATGTGGCGTACCAGGCCATTCAACTGAAGGTGCAGCCAATGACCGAAGCCATGTCCTGCCGCCCAGCGCAAGAGAAAGGGACTCCACCTCAAGCGATTGATTCTTTCGTGGGACCCAGGTGAACATCAAGCCAGCATAGGTGAACATCTAGGGCCTAGGGGCCATGCGGTTCTGGTGCCACCGCGGAGTCGTACCTCCACCGGCTTCCAAACCGTACATTCCAGGGGCATCAATTCGCCATGATTCGCCAAACGGTTGCTCTTGTCATCAGGGCGGGAGTGAACCTCCAAGAAACGCTACAAAATCTCACACAATGCCATCAAGAAAAGGACCTGCACAACCATTTCACATCATTTCACCCTTGAAAACGCGCATGATATGCGCAAAAACTCCTTCTTCCCCTCCGCCATCTTATTTGCATCAGCATGGAATACCGACAAAATTGCAGAGGGGAAGAAGGATCTACCCACCTTAGCCGATCGATCCCACGTTGCTCTCGTCTCCCCGCTCTCGCCACGTGGCAATGCCAGGGAAGTACATGGCATACACCAGACCTCGGGGGACTCCGTTGGACTTCCCTTCCATGCCCGACGTGGCCATGGCCAACACGCTACCAGGTGGAAGAGGTGGCCTATGCGATCTGGGTCTAGAAATTCTAGACTGGCAAGACCCCCAGTAGACGCCTCAAAGTCGGCGCCTATAGGCTTTTACAGGGTCTTCCAACCTGTCAGGTAGGGAGATGAACAGTTCGAGACCCTCCACGTCACAGTTGTTAGATGTTTCTAGTCCTGGCCACTGCAGTCCCACAGTGCCATCGGGCCATCGGGGGTGGAGTGAGTGCCAGAAACTGTCTCTTGCCATCTCCAAGCCGATGACTTGTCATCCACCGCGGCGGTTGATGTCGGTTTGACCCGCCGAAAAGCATGGCACCCGGGCCGACCTCCGCACGGGTGTGCTGGACGCGTGCACATCGGAACGTGGACATCAGTGCACATCCCTGGGGCCGTTCCACTTTCGAAGCGACGTGGCGAAGCGCAGGTGCAGCGGGATGGCCCATCCCCAACCGAAGGGGGCGGAAGTTCGCTCGCTGGTGGTTGCGCTCGTGTTCGTCGCGCTCGTGGCGCATCGGCTTCAGTTTGGTCAGGTGGCTGGTTTTGCCCATGCGCTTCAACTCATTCAAGTCCGGCCCTTGGTATGACTCCTCGGAGCGACCAGCATGGAACGAGAACGGCGCCGTTGGGCGCTGGTGCGCGAAAAGAAAAAACAAGGAAATAGGACAACAAATGGCCGTGCTTCTTAATTTGGGTAGATCTGCATGATTAGAATCGATTAAAGCTACAACTCGGCAGAGAAGCCACGACCCCTAGCCTGAACCAACAACTTCCCTACCTCAAGTCGCAGCCGCAGCAGTTGAAATAGCATGAAATAGGCTCAGACTTGGAAACTATGGTAAGGCACTTCCAAAGTTAATATATATAATATGTTTTATATATTGTCTAGTACTTTTTACCACATCTACCCGCCCTCCATGAATTCTGAAATTCGCCCCATGCACTGCAAATTCAGTTGGAACAACTGCGATCCCAAAGGAACTTCACTTCAAAAAAAACACTGTTTTCACATCCCCCACCCCCGTCTGCACTCGACCAAGCATCTGGGATCACCCGCTCGGGGCCAAAAAGCACATGGCGCGGCAGGGCTAAGATCTGGGAACGCAGATGAACATGGAGGATGCAGTTGTAGCACCTCACTGTCACTCCCAAACCGCAAAGAAAGGCGAGGAATCCACTGGAGGAATCCATCCACATCCATTCTGGGTCCATTCTTTGTGGGCCGGGAAGGACATGTGGGGGGATGGAGGGAGTAGGCTCATCCAGTTGTTCAACCTCAGTAGGAAGGAGAAAACACCCAACAAATTTAATTCCTTCATCTCCGGGGGGGGGGCCAAAGGCATCTAGGTTGTAGTGAACTTCATTCATTAGGAGATCTCCTCTTGGCCACCAACATGGAGGCTGAGAATCCAACAAATACCGAAATACATTCACATCGGAGAGGACCTCTCTCTGAGGAAAGCAAGGGGTTGGGCCAGGTTGGGCCAGCATCCATCGGTGGCTTTTCAGTCCCAGCTTTACGTTTTCAAGAGGTCAGGGATAGCCAGGGTGTCATTGGACCGGCAGGGGCCATGTAGACTTGCTGATGTCTAAATCAACATCCCCTATCCCCAATGATGCATTGAACACGTCAAGCCGTCGCCAGCTGCACCAATCCCCTTTGCCCAGCCAGAAATCACCAAGCCACACCGCAAGGAGAAAGACCGCGAGCTGAAGCCAAATCGATAGGATCATCAGCCCGTCGATCATCGACAAAGGGTATAGCCTCGTCTCCCGCATCAAAAAGCCGAAAAGTGGGTGGCCAGTTGGAGAACAATTCTTCTAATCCGCACCTTTCGACAACAAAACCAACAAGACAACGCTTGTTCTCGCCCCGCTATCTCCTTTCAAGGCGCTTCATCCATTCGGCCATCCGCACGCCGTTGCCCTCTGAGATCCTCCATGAACACGGTTCCAGCGCGGGTGAACCAGAGAAAAGAAACAAGAGAGTGCAAACAGTACTATCACAACATGCTCCTTTTAAGGCATGACTAGGATGCATTAGGTGCCAGAGGAATATATGCCCAGAAGATGTTAAAGAAAAGGCCTTCTGTGCGTCTTGCATCCCATCTTTTTGTGGAGCTCTTCATGCCTATCTTCACGTCTTAAATTAAACACGCCTCACCCCAAACCTCCCCTTTCATCGTTCCGGTCCAGCCCATCGCAAGCTCGTTGGCCAGAACGGTGAAGCCTCGCAATCTGATCGATCGGTGCTGCGAGCCGACCGCTTTTGATGACCTCTAGGTGACCGGGGTTTGGGATGACTGGATTGGGATGCATCCGGATTTCACCATGGGGTACTGACGGAAATGACCGTCCTGTCCCGAGACCACTGGGTTCGACCAAGTCACCCACCTGTAGAAGCGAGGCCATCAAAAGCCCCACTCCTTGGATGTGCCGACCGGTTTTCCGGCAGAAACCGAAAGGGAGCGGATGAAGACATCGAGCAATGATAGATGATCATAGGATCTTCATGGATCTTCCCTAGAGATTCAGTTAGAAGCCATGTCCAAGAAATCATGCATTCGTTCAACTCAGAAAAAGGTCACCACAGCTCACTGCCAAACCAGGACTCCCACACGCGTGTTCAGAAACCCCAGAGCTTGCTGAACCCTCTCTTTCAGCCTCTGCATGCCTTAGCTCGGGCGTGGCCGAGCCCGAAACGGCTCGCTCCGTTCTCTTGGATCGGCTTCGCATCGGCTTCGCGCCCCCCCTCGGCTTGGTTCATCTGCGCGCGTTGGATCAGCCTGATCACCCTCCTCGAGACAGATCCATATCGACCCCAACGTCTGACGCCATCCCGGGAAGGCGGCGCACGACGCAGTCGGAGCCTCCGGAGTCCCCTCTTGGGGACCCCTTCGTGGTGGAGACGGCGTCGGACGTGCACGTCGCGACCGACTTGCCCCAAAATAAGGAACTTCTTAGAACACTTGGGACCAGTACCTCAGGCTTCCATGACAGCTTACATATCAACATCATGCTCGTGATGTACATGAAAAGTATACTATACATCTACTACTACACTATTCAATTCTGTGCGAGTGTCTAGGTGCAGAGTTTTTCGCCTTCGACATCCTTCAGCTCCATCCAACACATGAGGCCTGGGTGCACTGGTAGAAGTGGTAAAGGCGAGTGGAATCAGGTTCCGGCGATGGCCAATGCTCCCGACACCATCGGAAGCAACCAATGCGGATGGCCAGCATTCTCACATACCTGTCGGCCCAGCGATGGCAGTGAACACTCGGGGCAACTGGGTTTTGGAATACAGGGTAGGTGACCCCTGTTTTGATAGGAAAAGGCCATAAGTGTTGGGTGGTTGGTGGTCCAAGATAGAGGTCATTGAGGTTCTGGGTAGAAGCTAAGAGGGCAGGAAACCTCTCGGGAGCGTCTGATCTTCCGGCCACTGAGACGCGGGTGCTTCCACCTCGGTCTCCCCCCGCAACCCGTTCGTGGTCCCACCGGTGGGGGGCCGGGCCCGGGGCCCCGGCCCAAGCCGGGGGCCGTTCGGTGGAACGCGACGAAGCGCAGAGCCGAGGAGCCCCAAGAACATCAGCAGAGCGCAGGTGGCCTGGCAGGACATCAAGCGACGCCCGGCGACGGGGACGTGACGTCTCGGACAACGCGAGACTTCGGATGGACAACGTCTCGGACAACTGAGGAACAAAAGAAGGCCGGATGGACGTGTTTTCTTCCAAAAGATGCCAAGAGATGTGAGTTTCTTCCAGATCGATGTGTTCGATTAAAGGGGTCACACAAGAAAACTATAAGTGGTGGTTGGGATTTTCGAGCATTTGGTCCAACCTCTGGTCGGCAAAGGGATCCAAGGAGGGCCATCTGGGAGGTCCCCATTTGGGAGTAAAAGTTGTACAGTAAAAGAATTGGATCTTGGGTATCAGCATAGCATATACCATCCTGAAGAAGATGGTGAGTGAAAACCTCTAGGACTCTAGCAAATGTAGCGAGGTTCTGGGGATGGGACAAGCCCTGTAATAACATATAAAAGATTCAAAAGAGCATCCATTCACTGAAACATCAACTATATATAATATATAGATATATCTGATAGATATCTGATATCTACCACTAGTACCTTTACATGTCATGTCCAAACTCTTGAAGACCTACTTCCATCAAAACCATCCGTCCCCCGGTCTTTGAACTCCAATCTTGTCACCTTACAAGGCCCCACCTCACCTGGCAGAGACTCCGGAAGTGCGTCAGGGTGGCCGACGCCACCCTTTCAGCGCAGCCGTGGAAGATGCGGGCCACGCAGCCTAGGTCGCCGAACCATGGGGCCGACTCTTGATTGATAAACCCCCTTATGAAGTTTCAATTCAATGGCGGGAGGTGATTCATCAAGAGTCTACATTAAGGGTGGAAAAATGTTGCCTTGATGAACCTCCCGGAGGCTGTGCTAATCATTGAATCTGACCTTCAGACGAAAACGATCGCCATACATATATATATATATATTATATATACATTAATTATATTTAAATATCATAATCATCACATATCACATATCATTCTACGTCATATATCATAGAATGAAGTAGTAGTTATGTATCACAATCATCACATATCCAGTATCACAGGTCCAGGTATCAGATCTATCCTTTCGACACCTGGACCTTTACTATCCTTTACTAACCTCTGCCTCCCGCTCAACGGAGTTCGACACACGACACGACACCCGGACCCGACGGCAGTGTCCCCCGCCGCACCTACGAAGCTCGGCTGCAGATAGCTCTCCTGGGTGCCATGGAGCTCCACGGCCGAAGGCCGCGCGGCAACGGAGACGCCTGGGGCTGCGGACCGACAGCGGCCGGCCGGCCGCTCACGGAGGCCGGGGAGGCCAGAGAAGGTGTACAGAATGTACCATACACGACCCAGGACCAAGGGTAGGAAAATAGCACCTTCCTATCCTTCCTAAACCGGCTTCCATGGCAACCGGACCAGATTCATTGTGGTGTGGGTTGAGGTTCGCTTTGGATAGGCCAGCTTTGCTTGTACAACGACATGCGCCAGTTGCTGGGGAAAACAGCATCCAGAAACATGTGGATGGACCCCTCCTGCCGACCCCTCCCTTCGGGAAGTCTGGCCTGGAACCTTGTAGTGCAAATGCAGCAGATCATCCAGGACCTGCGCACGGGCACAGGTCCAAGACCACATTGATCCACATGGTATGCATCCTAAAGTCCCAAGGATGAAAGCTTTGTAGGTAGAAAATGCCTCCGATTCGTTAGAAACCTTTTCCATCACAGCTGCATCGACATGTTCCCGGTGTTCTATGGTTTTCTGGTTTTCTGGCGCCACGCGCCAACAACAGACCGCTCTCGAGCCCCCCTTGGCACGGCGCCTCTGTCTCCCACATGTGCTGAGCCAGCAGCAGCAAGTGCCGTTCCAAGGCTTTCTCGCCCCCAGGCACGTCTTCGCCTCCCAACGCCGAAGCCGTTGGTTGGAGGATAATTGGATGAGGATGACTTCGCAGCAGGGGCGGAGCGGCGGAACCCATTTCTTTTCATCTAACATCTGCTGCCATCCGGCCAAAGTCTGGTCCAAACATCTTCCCCAAAGTCTGGTCCTGCTGTAAGTCTTCTCTTCGCCTAAGCTTGGTGGGCGCAGAGCGAAATTCTGACCACCTGGGTCGCGTCGCGTGAGGACGTGGCAACTGGCAGAAGGGCTGGGAAGAAAAGGATGCCCGCCAAATGAAAGCCCCCCCTACATCTGGTGAACATGAGCAAAAATTGCGACTCAGATACGAAAAACAGCTTCAGTTCTGCCAATTGTGTGGGTTTGACACTCACCAAGCAAATGGAGTCGGTGCAAGAGTTCTCGAAAATACGGTGCATGCATATGCATCTTGTTGCAAGAGTTCCCTCTATCAAACAAACCATGGATGTGGAGTACGTCCCATGGTCCGCTTCCCTCTTTCTGGGCGGGGGAGGGTCGCGTCGACTCTCGAATGTTTCAATGCTTCACCACTGGTTCTTCGGCGATGACTGACATCCATGCTGCCCGGGCCCGTCCTCCCAAGCCGCCCTCCCCAAGCTCCGTCCCACCGGGCCGCTGATCCGCGCGCGGCAGCCGCGGCTCTGCAGCAGCTTCAGCTGCCAAGACTCGCTGATCCGAAGCAACTGCTGCAGCCGCTGCCGATCCGACAAGTGGGGCCTCGGATAGTGGGAACAAAGCCGGAGCCGAAAGGCGTCGGCACCGTCCAAGTGCAGATCATTGGCACCAAACAAATGCGATTTAGGGGCTCGGCGCCAATGAGATGGGTTGGGGCTGTGGGGTGCATGTTCGGGAGGTACTGGTCCGCCCTTTCATGGCTTTGCCCCCCTTTCCTTCCAGCTCCATCTTTCTCCACCAGCTCCTCACTGGCACTCGATTGCAGTTCACTTGAAGCGCTGTCACATCCAGTCCGCCAGTCCGCGCGTGATGCAGAGGCCACCCAGTGTGGCAACTCTTGCCAGCCTGGATTCTGGCAACATCTTCATCCAGAAGCTCCAGACCAAACGTCGTCTTCTTCGTTCGCGGCCTTTGCCTCAGAACAGCGCTGGCGCCACACTCAGCAGCGTGGCAAAACCCAAGAGCATCACGCTGCTGGCAGCGCTGAAGTCGAGACCCGCGTCGGAGGCAGCCTTCTTGAGGCCATCCACCATCCTGAAAAACCCATCGGCACCGCTTTCTTTTGGGCGTCATGGGCCAAAAACGGCCCAGACCCACTGAGACGTCACTGAGAGCCATGCAAAGCAAAACTCCAAACCTAGGTTGGTGGTCCTTCCTGCCTTGAGCCTGCAACCCATTAAAAAGTGCCTGTTGAATGCTGGGCCGAGAATCTGTTGCCCAATCTCTCCTTGGATGTGTGGGATCTCATGCCAGAAGGCTGAAATGACACATGCAGAAAATGAGATCGGTTCGACCGTGCCGTTTCAAGGAGGAAAAGAACGCCCACTTTCTTCCTCCCCAACGACCCCCCGTGCGGCCCCATTGTTTGGGCGTCCCATGGAGACAAAGCCAAATGAGGTAAGTGCCCAACTTGGATATGAATAGACGTGGTCACTGATTGCTGGGTCACTTCCCTAAGAGACTGATGTCCGTCCCAAATACATCCCGAAAAACATAGCTCCACCAGTGACCTACATTTCGTCGCCTCATCTGGTGGTGAACCTCTGAGCTACTGTCTGTATGTTTTCAGCTTGTGAAAACCCACCCCCTCTCTACACTGCCCATCCCGATCCCCCCTTCCTCTCGCCGGGAGGCCGAAGGGCTGCAGCTCCAGCGTCGCTTCCGCCTGCACGCCACGCAAGATGCTGGAGACGTTGCCCATGAGATCTCCAGGCACCTTCCCCTTGGCGGCCTGGCGAGCGCACGGCCGGCGAGCACGGTGGATGCCTCCTGCGCATCCGCATCCACGCCGGGCGGCGTGAAACGGGGGGTGGCGATCGGTGCGGTTGGGGTGAAGGTGCCCCTGGTGACTGGTGCAGGACCCACATGAAAGGCTCGTTCAAAGGATTGAGAATTGATAGAGCGTGATCGCTTGCCTGGCAGCACTGGCAGGTATAAAAATCCTGTGTGCACTCGAAGCCACCATCTGGATTTGGGTGTTCGATGGTTTTCGGTCATTCCAGCGCCCATTCGGTGCGGGCCTGGGCACCCAGTTCAGCATCAACCCACTTCCTAACGCCCCTCCAGGGCACCCGCCCCCATGTCGCCCCGAACGCCGCGACGGCCGGCGCCTCCAGGGCACCGTCCACGAAACCGGCCATGGCCTCCTCCGTCTGCGTGGCCATTCCTCGCAAGGCCTCGGCCGCCGAGCTCAACTGCCCCACGGGCCCCCGCCTCAGTCAGCGAGGCTGGCTTGGTGGAAGGGCCGGTCGGTCGGAAGGGGGTGGCTTTCGGTCAGGTCCAAAGGAAGCCGGTTCCAAAACGGTTCCCCCCGCCCCAAAAAACACAAGTTGGTGGGGATGGGTTGGTCAACCATGAACTGTTTCACCTTGGTCTCCAGGTGCTGGTCTTCGCTTGAACTGTTAGCAGCTCCATGATTCACGGACAAGGAGACAGCTCCTGCTCAAGCAGGGCCACGTGTGGAAAGGATCCATCGACCAGAAAGCCCTCCAAACTGTGATTGAGGTCCCAAAGGGTCCCATGAGGTCGCAAAGGGTCCCATGAGGTCCTTAAGGACGATGAAAAAGGCTTTCCCTCCCAGTCATTGCCTTCTCCCACCGATCTCAGAAGAACTCCGATCTCCGACTGCGTGAACAGGCGCAAGGCATCGGACAATTCCTCCTCAGGGAAGATCTCCAGGCCCAGCAGCGACACACTGGTGGCCTGACTGCGCCGAAAGAACTCCAGTAAGTGCCGACACCCGGTTTGAAAGGAGTGGATTACGTGAATGTTCTGCCCTAAGCGAGGCTCATGGACGTGCACCGGAACCTTCTCAACACCGCAACCTGCCGCACCTCAACCTCGTGCCCCCTCGCAAACACAAGCAGTTTTCCAAGTCTATGTTGAGGACTAGGGTAGATTAGCCAGGAATTCACCCTCGTAGGTAACACCGCTGTTGGCATCAGGGATGACTACCACCCATCTAAAGGGGTAGGTCGTTGGCTCCCTTGTTGGGTCTTTCAGTTAAACCTGATAAATCTTGACCACCGGTCATCAGAATGGAAGACATGGGTGGCAATTGATTGACAAACCCTACGCCAAAGACAAGCCCTTTCAATCAGTGCAAATCTCACCCCTGCAATTGCACCAGGTCCCCGATCCATTTCACGGAGTTGTGTCTGACGCAGCCCGAACTCGTTCCCTCCCCAGCTGGTTGATCACTATGCCGAGCCAGTGTGACTTCCATGCCAGCCTTGGATGTGTTGTGGCTGGGCTTGCTCCTCGAGGCCAATAGCTCGTTCACCTCCTGATAAGGCAAGAGGAGGCAAAACCATGTCTTGCGCTGCTCAACCCCTCGAAACTATGGGCAAGTGGGGTTTCCCGCGTTAAAGCCTCCAGTCAAAACTATATATTTGCAGTTGAATTGATCATTTGGGATTCTTTATCCTCGGATCATCCTCAAGTAGAATATTCAAGGTTCAAAACAAATAACCAAGGCAGAAATTCCCGGAGGTGCGCAAGGATATGTTTCTGCCGTGGCATTTGCATTGGATGTCAGAAATGATCCAGCAAGGACAGAAGGGGGTTAAAGCGCGCACCTGATAGCAACTGATGGGTCTCCTGCAGCTTTTTCTCCAAGCCCTCCATGGCAGACTTCCAAACGTTGGCTTGGTCGATTACCACGCCCATGCTCTTGTCCAAGGTTCCTGCCGCCTTCCCCTGGCCAAACTGGGCTTTAAATGGGCAATGGGTCAATGGACCTGTATGTAATACACAAATCCACATATAGTTGTGCGTGTGAAATATTGATTTCGGATTCGCAGGTTTCTCTTGCACCCTTCGGGTTGGAAAAGCCTGTGGACTCTAGCGCCCTCTTCCTGCGAGGGCACTCACACTGGCACTTCGGCCTGGTTGAGCTTGGACAGAACCTCCTTGGCCATCTGGCTGACCGCTTTCAACTTCTCCACCACCTGGCTGCGGCGAGAGGATGGGAATGGGATTTGGGGTGCTTGGACGTCTTCTTTTGGAGGAAGTTCTCCCAAGATGTCAAATTTGTCTTGAGACTGTCTCTTTGGCAGCTGAAGCAGTCTCTTCAATCACTCTGCATGTGAGTAGGGCGTTGGTCCTATCAAGCAATCCTGCACCTCCTGCTCCAAGAAACTCACCTCATCTCACTTCCCCAATCCATGGTCCATATGATCTCTGCTGCGGCCCCCGCCTGATCAAACAGAGGCTCCACCTTCTTCACCACCTTCGAGGCACCCGAGGTAAAGACACTGCACTTGTCGCGGGCTTCCTGAACCTGCGCGCGTGCCTTTTCGTCGCACGGTTGCTGGGTGCAGCGGCCTCCCCCCTTGCAGACCAGTGCGGGAAGACCTTTCACCAAGTCGAGAGGGATGAAATTTCACAGACCCGAAGGTTCGGGTTTCATGGGCGGCTTTTTTGGGGTAGTAGTAATAAAGTGCCACGCTAGTAGTAACAGGTGCCTTACTACTAGTAACAATAAAGCTATTAGACTTACTGTAAATTAAATCTAAATTAAGAGCTTCTTGTTACTACTAGTAAGGCATTTATTACATCTTATTACTACTAGCGTGGCACTTGTTACTACTAGCTTATTGTTACTAGTAGCAATAAAGCTAGTAGAAACAAATGTCGTTCGCCTCTTGGAGTTCTCGAAAAAGGAGACGAAGGCGGAATTCGTTGAAACAGGATCGCCCGGCCACAAGCTGTCGAGCGTGCGCGCGAGCTTCAGTCTGGAGAGGCTCTTGGGCCCTCCACAAATTCGCCCTCAACCCCCGCTCCACCCCACCACTCCGGACCAGGTCGACTCTTCTTCGCCCGAGCGACCGGCGACGTGGGCGGGGGTTGTGGCGAACCTCGCGGTCCACCTCTTGGATTTCCTGCTGCGCGGTGCGGTTCATCTTCTGCAGCTCCGCGCCCACGTGCTTTAAGGTCTGGTTCACTTGCTGGGCACCAGCTTCAAAGGTCCCCAGGGCCAAATCCTCACAGCGAAAGGATTGGAAAAGCCCCCAGAAAGGCCGTGGACGCTGATCTATGACTTGGTCTTTTGTGATGTTGAGTGATTTTCTGTGTTCAGCACGCGGCTCCTGGTGAGCCGGCGAACCGACAGCGGGTCCATCGACTGGAGTTTCTAGTTCATGTCAGGCACCGTGCTCTGTTGGTACTTCTTCTCCCCATCTGCTTTTTTCAAGGCGTTCCAACCAATGGACTTGAAGGCGCCGCACCGCTCCATGCGGCCGGGCCGCACCGTGAAACGGTGAATGCATCAGACCTCCGAAACAAGGGGGGCGGGCGTCCCTCCAGCCAGGCGCCAGTTCAGCCAGCCTGGCTCAAATCCCTCAAGAGGGCTGGTTAGGGGCTAGGGGCCTGCCGAGTCTGACAGGGGTTTGACCTGACAGGGCTGGTGTCGTTTTCTCAAGTCGATTTGCCACTCCACGGCCCCATATGGCCCCATGGCCTGTCCTTGAGACCTTCGACAGCCTCCTGCCCATGTTGCATCACATCCTGAGCAGCAAGGGCTTCCCCTCCCCACGACATGAGTTCAGGCAAGTCCCACAAAGCACATGGAAGAGAGTGTCCAACCCCACCCCATGAGAACTTCAAGCAAATCACTCATAAGATTGGTCAAACAGGATATTCTTTGAAAATAAACATGGAACAGCCAAGTCTCCTTGGCACCTTTTGCTGCATCAGCCAGCTTGTCACCCAGACCTTTGAGGTCTGGAAATTCCTCCTCCATGACATCTCTCATGTCACGCTTGAACATTGCAGAGCTGGAGACCAGCAATGCCTCAGACCACACAATTTACATCCTGATGGATTGCTGGGAACAATCCTGAGCTCAGAACAGGATTGCTGGGATCTGGTTCGACGATGGATCTAATGGATCATGATCCCTTTTTATCGTTTTGCACCCTCAGCCTTGCAAAGGAAAACGCTTCAGTGCCGAGATGCCAAAAAAAGCACACTACGCATGGCAGCCATTGGGGTTTCTCGGCTTCAAAATCGGGTATGGACAGTCGTTGGGGTTTCGGTCTCAGAGGCGTTGCTTGAGCCAAGAGGCATCGGTCCAAGAGTTTCAATGGCTTGAAGCTTCAGGAAAACATCGAAGGGCGCCAGAGTCTATACCTTGTAATTTACTAATGCAATGGCCACCAACCTAATAGCCTCCCTCCAGAGTCTACATGTGTGAGTTGTCGTTTTTTTTGGATGCGACACCTTCAAACCTGTCAAGGAGCAGAACGACCCCTCACACGGCAAGGCATCCACACAGCTGCCAAAAAGCCTACATTAAGTCAAGTGCTTCGCAGCTTCATACTGCCAGGTCATACCAGGTCCCACTACCCCATCTGCTTCTGCTCCGATCACCGTCCCCCAGTCTCCCGTTTCACGTCCCGTTTCGCCATGGTCCCAGCCGCGAGCGCCCGGCTTCCGCCAGGCTTTCCAATTCTGCGCCGCTCGCTTGCAGTGCAAGGACATCATCCAGGCTGGGCCCCTGAAAGGCAAGACGAAGAGAAATGCAAACCAGGTGCTACTACATCCCACGGCCACAAGCTACTGGATTCTTCTGATGATGATGATGATGATGATAGTTGTTAGCAAGGGCGTGACTCAAAAAAATATATATGTATATATTTGTAGATAATTTTGCCCACTACGACTGGGGAATAGGACCGACCTGGGGACTTTATCAGAAGAGAGGACCGGCCTCCCTTTGGCCAGGGCCCAGGGTGGTTGAGTGCCGAGCTGGGGAATAGAGACACAAACAAACAAACAAACAAACAAACAGGTTGGGTTATGCAATGACAAATCGTCAAAATTGCTGAGACACTCCTACTGTTCCGTGAAGTTCCGTGCTACTGCATCTTCGGTGAAATAAAAAAATAGTAAACAGCCAGAAAGGGCGTGGTACAAACTGCAGAGACCTCTATTTGGGGCTATTGCGGATGCCGATTCGCTCTTCCTCTCCGCTGCCCAAGATACCGCATGGGCCTCTTAGGGTTCGTCTGTGGCGTATGGTACCATAAGACCAGAAGTCTTTGCTGATGCTGGCTACTCACTGCTAGTAGTCGACAACTAAGAGATATGGTCCAAAAAATGCAGGGTGGAGTCATGGGCCCAAAATGCCTGCCCGGCCCGGTCAACATCTGCAGAGGTTCGATGGCACCAGTTACCCCAAGTTCGGTGGTTTATATGGACCCCAGACATCACTGGGGATGCCAGTGCCATCGAACCTCTGAAACCACTGTAATCACGACATCAATCCCCACACTCCTTAGACACAGCCGGTTTTTGGCCAAGGTGGCATGACAGCTGATCGAGTTGCCCAACTCGCTGCTGTTCATCCAGCGCAGGCAGTGGGACATCGTGGGCATCTGAAGCACCTGACAGGCTGGCAGGGAAGCACGGGGTGAAGCACCCTGCAAAAGACTCCCCAGCTCCATATCAGAAACCCAATCCTGGACATCTCTCTCTTTGGTGGCAGGGGTGGTCCAAAAGAAGCCTGCAGGTGCACGATCCACACCCCGTCTTCCCTGCACCGATCTGAGCACCTTCAATCACATGTCCCACACCGCACGGAGCTTCAACTTTGTTTGTGCCTGGGGTTCCGATGATGTCTCCAGTCTACCACTGTTACGCTTCAGAAATGTGCTAGACCGATCCATGTTCGCCTTGTGGAAAAATGGTCCAGCCATGTCCAGCCACTGCTCAGCTTGCATTTTGAGCCTCGAAGAGGGTGAAAGCCAGAAATTCAACTCCCGCACCAGCAATTTGTTGCAACTTGTCTCACCAACTCCTCCTCCCATCTCTCCAAAATGCCAAAATCCCCCGAAAGCACTCGGCACAGGTCACTCTGTTCACCACTACCCTTTGCTTTCCGTCAGATCCCGTCCCTTGCCTCGCAGTAGGAGGAGACCTTCGTGTGATTCTCAAAGCGGAAGCTGAAGGTGGCAGACTCCATCCAGGTGATCCTCTGAGCCGAGCTGAGCCGGTTCTTGGGCGAAAAAGAAGGCGTCTGAATCCAAACGTCAGCTGGGCGAGGGCACACGCAATGAACTTCAAAGTAGCAGTAGCACCTGAAGAAGAAATTCAGAAACGTGACTGGACTGACCAGAGTGTATCCACTCTCCCGGAATTCCAGGACGCCCACCAATTCCAGCCCTTCACTCCTCCCCCCATACTCCCCATACCCCAGATCTCTGCCCAGCGTCCACACGTCCTTGGAGCCGGGCGACGGAGTCGACGATTCACGGCGTCGCGGGGCCGACTAGGCCTGCCAAAGGGTTTTGGAGAAGACATTCTGAGTGGGGATCTACTGTTCTATCATGTTCATTCATGTTCTATCCATTTTGGGGGTCTATTATATCAGGATATAAAGACCCTTCATGAATCTTCATGGAAGATTGAACCAGCATGGTTCGACCAGCATAGCAAGAAACCAGAGGTTCACAGAGCCTTCGTTCAGATCTTTCGTCAGACCTTCAGCCAAGTGGCCCGGATCAGAAGAGTCATATTGATGTCAATGCCCTGCCTTGGGATCGCCATTGGCCCAAGGCATGGTGGTCAGCAAGTGGAGTTTGGGATATGAGGACATCCGCGATATGTGTGTCTGCATTCCTGAAAGGTGATCTTCTATCTGGTAGGGGCCGCGGACCTGCTTTTGCCCACTGAAATAGGTGGTATGCCAGCCACTGAATGTTCATTATGCACTTATGTACCAATCAGCCCGTCACAGGTTTCGAGCTTGTGTTCGGTGCAGGTGTTTCTCCACCAGGGCCAATGCCCCAACCCTTTAAAACCACTTGGGACAGGCAACCGTATGTTGAGTACTCATGCTGCATAATTGCATATATAAGAAACTCTTCCGACATGCAAACAGGCAAACAAATGGGGAAAGTGGCACACCTGCTACCTGCTAGTCCGCCATAGTCTGCCTTTACGACCTTCACTGGACGACCAAGACTGGATTCCTAGTCCGCTTCCCACGAGCGCTCTTCGTTTCGAAGAGTTCTCCATTGGTGCTGAGGGTGAGGAGGGTGATGTCGCTGTCACTGGAAGATGCCCAGTTATGAAGGGAAAACCTATGACCTACGGAGTCTCCGACGTCCTCTCGCCGCTTCCACGTCGGTGCGCCCGAGAGGCCGCGAGAGAAAGTCGGCCACAGGCTCCTGGCAAGAAAAGGCCGCAAACAAAGGATGGAAGCCGGAAGCATGAGTTGTGCAGGACACCCTCCAATAAGTGGGACCACCAAGGAGACAAAGATGTACATAGACTGTGACTAGATGCCTTAGTGAGTACCGGACACTTTCCGGAGCAAGAGATGGGACACACTTATCCACCTCGACAACAGCCGCCACCTGAGCAAATCGAGTCACAAAAATGGTAGTAAGAGCCTTCATGAACTTGACATGTTGTTGAAGATGTTTGACTCATTTCACTGATTTGGGATTCGGCAATATAGTCTATCCTATGCCCCCCTTCAGGAATAACCGCAAAACTTGTGACACCTCGGCCAACTGCCACCCCGATCTTCCCGGCCTTCTCCACCATTGCGCCCGCGCGTGCCGCGCTCGGGCCGTGCAGGTTGGGCAGCGGAGGAACCCAGCAGTACTCGGCCACACGCTCCGCAGCAGCGGAGGGCGCAGACCTCGCGCGGGGAGGTCTGCGCCACCAAGAGGTCCACTCGGGGAGTCTTTTCGAAAGTAAAATGCACTTTTCAGCACATGACAGAATGAGCGTGCATGCCACTGTGCCCTTTGCTGAAGTCAGCACTCAGCAAGTTATTGCATTGCCTTTTTGTCACCACAGCACCTTTGTTCTTACTGCATTATTATCATCATCATCATCATCATCGTCATCATCACCAGCAGCAGCAGCATCATCATCATCATCGTCATCATCATCAGCATCATCATCATCATCATCATCATCCTTCGAACCTTTATATAGACTGCAAGTTCACCGTTTTGTCTCAAAAATGTTCTTTTCGGACCGTTGTCACTGTTCTCATACCATTCGTGAATACAGTTACCGTAACAGGCTGTGGTTGGAGCAGGCATGGTCGAACCGCAAAATGAGAAGAGTTGTCTTGTGCTCGCAGCAGGATGCACAGCCATCACATTTGCAACTAGAGTTCTGAGGGTTTGCCTTTCGCTGCGCCCAACCAGCGTTTTGCCTCTTACATAATGCCTCTGAAAATGGCGCATGTCCAAAATGAAAGTGAAGAAAGTAAACAAAATACTGTGCTCACTACAGCGAAACGCAAGTTACCAAAAAGAGAATTCCGAGATGAAACTCTGTTTTCTATGGATTTTATGGTTGCTAGCATACGAACACAGCAAAAGGAACACAGTTCTCGACCGGTGGGCTTATATTTTGCAAGGGCTAAGGCTTAGCTAAGGATTCTGCCCAAGATATGTACCGTATGATGATGTATGATGTTTCTGTCCATCCGTGTCCCTCTGTTGCATGCAGCTACGCTAGGTCACTACGGGGCTGCTCCTCAACCAATGGGCCAACTGTGAACAGACAAAAGAATGGGAGTGCTAGGAAATTAGTCATCACAAGAGCATGCCAGGTGGTGCATATCTTGCTTCAGCTGGTGCTTCGGCGCATTCTGATCGCGGCCATTCTGATCGCATGTGCTCCCTCCAGTGAGCGTGTGGGGGTAGACCATGGGGACCATGGGACCATAAAATTGCACTCTACCACAAGCACTTTGTCTATGCTACAGCCCAACGAGAAAGTCATCCCTTGTCGTCCCTGAAACAGGACGAACGCCCCATGTGAACGCAGGATTGAAAAGGTCACCCCTAAGTCATCTCTTGATTCTTCCCCCCATGTGAACGCTGCCAGCACACTCAAGCACTTCACCAAGTCACTTCAGATCGCTTGAGCAGCGGATGTATCTACAAAGGACTTGCACTCATCCCTCCAGAAACTGAGAAACTTCTTCCGAACACTGGAAATGTTAAAGTCGCTCTCAGTCTTGTCCCAGGAGGTTGCACGAAAGTACTTCGACAAGGGCTGACCTCTGGGTGGGCCCAAGCGCGGATCTCACACCCCCAAAAAAATGCCCGCACCTGTTGCCCAGCGGGGCAGCGGCCAACCACGTGACTGGATGGTGCTCGGAGATGGCACGACCTCGGCGCGGCGCTGTGGCACCCACCGTTTCTAGACGAAAGCCGTCGCCGGAAAACGGCTCAAGCATTCGGATGCCCAAAGTGAGAGGATGAGTGACTCTGAAGGAGGTGGTGCGCCCTCTTCAGCATGAACCTGTATGAAGCAAGGCAATTGCAGCAAACCCAAACATCTTGGGGTGTCCATCCTAGTTGGTCTTGGGGGAAGTCACCCTCAAGCGATTCTGGGAAAGGAGTGGCTGAGGAGGAAGCAGAGAGGGCTCGGACCTCAGACGTTGTGAAGGCACGATCCCTGTCGAACCAAGCTGCAGTTGCCCAGGTCGACCAGCGTGCGCGCTGCGTGCACGCTGCACAGCAGTAAGCCCAGCAAGGCCAGAGGCCACACGAGGAAGGCCTGTGGCATCAAGCGAGCATCAATTCCAACAGGTTGGCAAAACCAAGAACCCCAAATTGTAGTCACGGAATGGCGGCACATGGCTTAAACCCCAGTTGCTCGTGGCATCCACGCAGAGACCGTGAGAACCCCCCCTATTGAAGGAACATCAAGGAACCGACCACGGCTAATCCGACCACCGCAGTCCGGCCTGCAACTTGGTGACGTAGCGGGAGTTGGCAAAAGCCACCACCTGCCGCAGGGGTACGTGGCTCTTCCTCAAAGAACCTTTTTGCAGCATTGACCGGGAAGTGTGTGAAAACACCCAGGATCAACTCCCCTGCTTATGTGGGGAAGTACCAATTGACAATATTGCACTCCTTGAAGTATTGGTTTGACATGTAGTTTCACTTCATGATCTGAAGATGCCACCAAGCCCGGGCAAGTAAAGCTGCGAACCATGTGCCTGGACAAGGAGGCGTCTGTCGACCGTGGCCAGGGACACCGAAAAGAACCCGCCCCGATAGGGCTTTCCTGACCCACCCAACTCCTCAGTGTCACCCGTATACAGCACCACAAAGCAAACAAATAAACTTGATAAACCCCCCAGAAACGAAGAAAAAACAAGAGCTCCAAGAGATCAAACCAGCAGATGTGTCCCCAAAAACGAGCGCTCGTCTCTGCCCCCCCCCCAAGCCATGACCTACCGGGACCTACCAGGACCTTCCTCTTCGCTCCCGCAAGCTCCTCGCGCTCCCTAGCCCTTCCCCACCAGGACCAGCGAGAGGGTCCACAGGCTTGGGGATTCCAACTGGAGGCTCTGCGACTCCACCGGGCTCAACACCACCTGCGACTCCACCCCCCGCGGCGACAGAGGCGCGGAAATGAGACCGACGGGTGTGGTGCCTCCGACCGACCCGACCGGGATGGATCCAAAAGGGATGGATCGTGTCGGAAGGAGGCTCATTCCAATCCTTCCCTACGCACCTTCTAGAATTGTGAAGACACCACAGTCCGGTCAACCCGAAGTCTCTTGCTCTTGCTGTCTGGATGTGAGAACTATGCCACTGCTGTGTACTGCGCACGCAGGCATGAGCTTGTGTGCGTTAAAAATGGAGGTCGGACGAACACTGCTGAAGTAATGCAGAGAAGTGCGAAACCCAGATTGACCACGATAAGCAAGAGCTGCTAGCCGCTACCTCTTCCCAGTCCCACCGCGCCCGGTCAGCAATGATAAAAACAGTTGGGAAAATTAAGTCGGATATATAGAGGATTAGTTCGTAAAGAAATCCAAAGCAGAATCCGAAACTCAAGGATCAATTGCAAAAAGATGCAAAAATTGTTCAACCTAGAGAAAAATATACCGGCTCAAAGGCAACCAGAAAACAACACACAAAAGAAACACAAAGTTTGCTAGCACGCTGCATCTGAAAGGACGGCTGCGGCAAACAGTTTACATGAAGCGTTTGCAAATTATAGCCCCAGTCCACCCAACACGAGAAACACAACTGCTGCCGCTGTTCCGCGGGCCCCGCGCACAGTACCCAAGCAATCCCAAGCATGAAAACCTAGAAAAATTGATCAACATGTTGGTTACGGGTCTGTGGTTAGCTTCGTTGACGGGAACAACACACGTGTGACATGTGTGTGTATGTGTCCGGTTTTGGCACTTTAGCCCATGCACTTCCGACTTGAAAGGATGTGGAAGTCTGACAACTTCCACCTCAAGCCTCAAGAAGCTTCAGACAATTCACCACATTTTGCCCCATGTTTTCTGAGTTGAGGTGTCAGAACCCTCGGCCTGAACCCGCACCGACTCGTGAAAGAGGTTGATGCCATTGGCATCGCAGTAGCCCACCCGATGGTTCAGCAAACAGCTTGACGACGATGGCAACTGTGACCTGAGAAGACAAGTGGCGACGATGCGTGTGTCCAACGGAACGCCTACGCCCTACCACAGACAAGCGACAAACCAATCCCCACCGCAAATGCATCTTCCAAACCAGCTCTAACAGTTTTCTTGAGATGATCCACTTGATCCAGCTCAAAGGGCATGAAGCTGTAGAAGCTCTCTTCTCCCAGCAGCAGGGTAGCGTTCAGAAAGCACCTCAGGCTGGCGACCACCGGCTACGGTGCGGTCCCAGCAGGGTGGAGCCCTGCTAAGACGCTCTCGATTCAGTCGATGCGCTGGACTGCCCCCCAACCGCCAGCAAGTAATGAAGGAAAGTCGAGCAAGTCCAACAAACTCCACAGATTCTACAAATGGGGGGTCCATAAATTCAGAAGAACGTCCCTGGAAAAAAACTCTCGGATGCTTTTTAAAAAAGCCCATCAAACACCTTTGATCTGATGGCTTTGGACTTCTTCCTTTGGCTCCGAAGGCTTTCGGCTCCACCCAAACCGCCTGGATCGGGAACGCCGAGCCACAGAAATGCCAAGAACTTGGACCACACCTCTGCGAAGCTGAGCCGGGCCTTACCTGGAGCCTTACCACCCCGTGCCCTATACATGATTTTTGGGCCTGCTGTGCCTCAAAAGGATCCACTAGATAAACTTCTCAAAGGGATCCCACCTGTAGAGTTGACATGTTCCTGGATTTTTGCCTTTTGCCGTGATCTTCGACTTGAGCTTCCTTGGAAAAAATGCACACCTGCAAGCAAGACCTCAGATCACCAGTTGCAGGAAGATGCAAAACATTCGTGGCATGAGGTGCCCACGCGAACCACCCAAGTAGCTGCAACTATGCACCGGAAAAGATGTACCAGGACCACTCAGGATAGTTCAGTTTTTGTAGTCCTGAGGGAATGCCCGTGTCAAGTCCTGAGGGAATGCCCGTGTCAATGGGTTACTTGACAAGGTATATGTATGTGGGGAAATGTCAAGGAAGGGTTGAAGGGCAAGTGAACATAAATGCAAGCACTGATCTCCAGAAGTAGTGTATGCTTTTCAGAAGAAAAATTAACCAAAGACACTGAGGAGGCAAAACAGATCGAAGTTTTTCATACAATGCGTCACAAGTTGCTGACATTTTGGTGAAACATGTGCAACTCGATTTCCGATGAAGCATTCGGTTTGACAATTGTTTTTGTTGAGTTAAAAGTTCGGTGAAGAAAACATGTGCAGTTTTGTCTCCAGAGTGTTAATGCGCTAGAGTTTTGTGAATGTTGTTTTACAATGTCTTCCGGTTGTCCTTGTCGAAATCAAAGCACCGGCCATGGAAGATATTCTCTGGCCCAACTATGACACTTGGTAGGTTAGGGTCAGATTGAGTGTGTGAAGCACTCCAAGGTGGCCAATGCACAGCAAGTACATGGCGTGGTGAAAAATGTGTTAGCCAGCAGTTGTCTAATTTGGTTAATGGATGGGGCATCAAAGTAGCAAAGCACCACCCTTGAGAATGATGACCACATCAGATTCAATTCTGCATTCCGTTTGACACCTATAGCAACCGTCGGAACAGTCCAGGGCTCCAAACATGCATATAGGTGAGGTCGAAGAAGATGCAACGGGCGCCCGCAGCCCACAAGTCATGCCTGGAAGGCAAGAAATCTGCTTTTCCATGGGTAGCTAGCTGAACTGGATGTGCCGACCAGATCCCTAGGCCAAATGCAAGATGCAAACATCGCAACATCGCCTCGAGGGAGCTCATCATGCTCGTCGCATGACACATGAGGAGTGTTCCCAAGCCACATGCGAGGCATGCAGTGAACTGTCTTGCGAGGTCGTTCCAGGTTGCTGAGTCCATCCTGCGCGCGCGTGATGACGCGTGCGCCAAATGCGGCCAAGCCACAGAAAGGCCAAGAACCCAAGACCTACCTGGCCGGTCATGTCGTTGCGCCGTCCCCCCAGCCATCCCCTTGAGCAGGTGAAGCTGGGTCTGGTTACCCTGCCAAGGCTGGCCCTCCCGGACCAGTTCTTCACACGCGCCTCCTTGCAGGTGAGCTGGGAGAGGGCGGAGAATATGCCGCGCCTGGCTGGGCTGTGTCCCGTGTTTTTGAGGAACTCTTTAGGGAAAGGCATGTAGTGGAATAGAATGTAAGAAATGATGATAGCCATCTTCAATCTTCCCAAACTCGTGCAACCCCCCCAAAAACCTGCGTCATGGAGCTCGATGCTTTTCGGTTGCTCAAGCGTGAGGAGTTCTATACTATACTTTAGATGTTCCTCTAGGAGGTGGGAAGGACATCTTTGGTCTTGTGGGGGTTATTGCGTTACCATCAACTCACTCCAATCTTGCAAAGGTCGCCAAATCAAAAGGGTTCAGATTCACGATGCATCTACGATGTAATTCCAAAGGTTGTGGACTTCCATCGCGCTCTCTCTCTCTCTCTCTCTGAGGAGTCACCTGGAAGCAGGTGGGACTCGCATCTGCATCTGCCGTCCCTGACCCGCCAGCCTGCTCTCGCTGGCGCCAGCACCCACGTGACTCAAAGCATTCTGCGACGCTTCCACGGCACGAGCGTTCATCTGAAGCTCGGCGCCCTCGGGGAACACGGTGAGAAGGCCGGTGAAGGCCGGTCAGGAGCGGCGCTGCTTCGATGGATGGAAAGTTGCCGGCTTTTTTGCGAGGTGCCTTCGAGCTTTCCATTGCCTTTGAAGTTGCATGAACTTGTTATCGCATGACTGAGCGAATATCGTTGGCGGCATTCTTCGGGAATCCACACTATGACCACAAAGGGTTATGCCAATTCCTCATCCCAGACCCATGTCTCATCGCCTAGGTGAATCAATGAATGAACTATTGAACTATAATGAATTATAGATCTTTTTGAGACACAAGGCCAGCCGGAACCTTTCAATGCGTATCTGATGTTTAGAACATTTACAGGTGACATGCTCAGCCGCTCCTTATTTAAACCAATGAATCTGTCAGATCATCTATCGAACCTTCCATGGAGACCAGTCATTCGCTGGGTCTAGCCGCTTCAACCAAGGGGCCAGTGGCTCATAACCATCCGACCAGGTCGCCAGCTCAACGTCGCCCATCGGCGGGAGCGGCGACGTAGGAACTCCCGCCACCGGCCATCGCCCGAGCCGAATGGCTTTTGGCAGGGAGACCAGTGCGAACAACGTAAACGGTCGCACAACAGCCAATTGGAAAACATGAAAAAAATGATCTGAAAACTTCATCTCATAGATATGTTTACAGAAACAATGTGTTCTCAGCTTTGGCACTGCAGCTTGCGTTCCAAACGTTTTGGGCTTCATGTCAAACTTCTTGTGGTTGTTTTCAATGTCCTTTTGTATTTGCTTTGCAAAAAAATAGGGTTTTGGTTCCAAGTCCTTTGGATGCGTCTTCGAAACCTTTCGGGATAGTCTCCCAAAGTTTCTGGATTTCCTGTCCAAACCCTTTGGATGTCCTTTCCAAACCTGTTAGGTTTCAACAGAATTAGTGTAAGCTCACCTTCCCTGTTGACTTCCATAGAACTGTATTCCACAAATGTTCTCCAGATGTTCCTTCCATTGTCCACTCTTGTCATTTCACACTGACAAAAGTCACAATGACAACGGCTCTTGTGTGCACAAAGCCATCCATCAAGCAATTCACCACCTCATCTGTGCTTCTTGCCTTGCTTGGTTGAACGGTTGTGGCAAGTTGCCTCTTCAACTCATTATCTCCCAGTTTGATATGATATGCCTTTATTTCATCCATGTTAAAGAAAAGACAGTAACCATCGCACAATCACAAAACCAAAATGCAAAAGCTTGCCACAATGGAGAAGACTCACATGCAGGGCCCTGCTCAAACCTATAAACTTTGATGTTGAAACTGCGTTGGGGGTTACGGTTACAGGGACTTGTGTGGAAAAAAGGGTCTTGAGCTTGGGGTCTCGCCCTTCGCCCCGACCCTCCAAGAACACCCCTCCGTGGCACGACCGCAGGTGCGTGAAAGAAAAATCGCTGATTCACCTGTCAGAAAAACGAAAATCATCCACTTCAAGGAGAATTCACCAGCCATGTCACCAGTGAGGGCTAGACTGGCTACAAAAGCCCAGGGTGATGCGGCCGGACTGGGATCCGTGGGCTGCGAGCACGCACCTTTTTGGTCATCCGCAGAGAAGACCTGAGTGGTGAAGACTCCCCAAACGGCCCAGGGCAATTTCACTAGGAAAGGTTGCGCCCATGGTTTTCGCATGAGATACGTGCTTGAAGGACACCATTCTATATCTTATTTAACACCTTTTTCTATGTCTTCTATAGCCACACGGCCACAGCTGTCTGTCCACGATTGCCGGTCCATTTTGCCGGTCAGGCACGTCCCGAAGCGTGTCCGTCTGCTGACCTCACTGATTGGGGCTCCTTACCAACGGAGCTGGAGCTGGAGCTGGAACGGACCAAAACCTCCGAAACGGTGGACATCTTCCTGACCGCAGAAATGGATAGAGCCAAACCCAGGTGAGAAACGGTCCAAGTCTAGACATTGCAGGCGCCGTGTCGAGATAAATAGGCCCCAACTCAAATGGTGTCTCCTCCCCGCAGCGGCGGAGAGTTGAGTTTGGATCCCTAAGCGACCTGCTTTCACCTCCAAGCAACCCAGTTTCCGTTCATCTCCCCTGCCACCGATGCTGCCGGCGCTAAGGCCGCGGGTGGATGGCAACTCCTGACCATGTAGAACAGGGGCGAGTCTGACTTGGGGCGTGTGTCAACTAGAATCTGACAGGTGGAGAAAAGGACGTATGATTGATCAAGATGCTGGTGATCATCATGATGAGGAGTGAGGACATCTGAAGTCCTGAAGCAGGTTGTTGGTCCCAAGCATCGGAACCTCCGCATTGACGGGCGCGCGTCGGCTCACTCGGCTCACCGCGTCTCCTGTAGAACTGGCATTCCTTCAGTCGCATCTGGAAGCTCCAGCAGCGGCATCCTGAAGTGTCAGTAGGACTTCTTGGCGGATTCTTCAATTACTGCTGAATAAATTCCCCCCCACATTGAGATGAGTTTAGAAACGGTTGACAAAGATACGTAGGCGGATCGAGGGGTGGGACATTTTCTCAGATGTCAACATTAGAAGCGAATGACTTCAGAAAGGCGTTGGACCTTTTCTCTTTATCTTGCTCTTTCTCATTTGTTCTTTTTCTCTTTTTCTCTCTCTCTCTCTCTCTCTGGATCTCCTTCTCCCCCCTGGGGACCGATGCAGTTCGTGTTTTTGGCGCCTTGAAGCAGCCTCTTCCAGCACGTTTGGGCGCAAAGGCAAGGAGAAGCCACCTTGGACACCGAGGTGTCTGAGGAAACAGCCAACCCTTCTGAACGGCGAACGGCGACCCGGTGGCTTTGGAGATGAAAAGCCGGCAGGGATAAAAAACAAGAACCCTCCCAAATTGGATCACGTTTCCAAAAGCGGCATCGTCGTCGTTCAATGCAAGTACAGGACTGTAGACTCTTGATGTTGAAAACATCTGGAAAAGATTGAAAACGTTTCTCATGGTGGCTTTGTTAGTCAACCGTCTACAGTTGTCCCACTGGTTCTTTGAGGCTCAAATCCAAATCCGTCGAACCAACCGCCCCCACCGCACTGCTCTCCGGAGCACCTCAAAGGGTTGGCCCAGCATCGTCGCGGCCGGGCCCCACGTGGCGCCCGGGTAGGTGCCATTGCCAGGCCTCGAACGATCTGAGCAGCAGCACCACCACCAACAGCCACAACAACAGCAAAGACGCTTGGGACAATAAAGGCCACAGCTACTTCATGCCAAGTGATGCCCTCTTTGGCTTAGGGGAATAGGAGCATTTGGATCGGGCCATTTTAACTGGGCACAAAGTTGCATGACCAAATCAGCCTGTTGGTTACCCAGGCACACATGTAAAACTTTAAGATGAATCTCGGCGTTGTATACTCGGCAAGGTTGAGAGACCTGATACGTCATTCGTTCCGTTGCTTCAGGCCGTTCGCTGCAGGTGTTGGGGCTCCAGGTATTGACCCCTCCTACTGGCATTTAATTTCCCGCATGGATACAGCTTCAGAAAGGCAAAAAAAAACATCCACACCATTGGCTCGATCCTAAAGTCCTAGCACTGCCTCAAACACGCCGTTGCCTACGGGAACAATCTGATGTACTTCGAATCATTATCCAGTACCTCCAGGGTTTTGCATCCATTCCTCTCGTACCTCACCATCATAAGAATCACAAGACTGGTTCATCTAGCCTTGTTTAAGTTGGATGGGGGCGTACGTACATAGGTGGGTTTCCTTTGCGACCAGAAGTTCCGAATTGGTCAGCAGTGCATAAAACTCTGCTACAATACACTGCTGATCTCAACTGTAAACCACCATACCATCCACATGGAGTCGTGCCTATGACATTCGTTGCACCATGTCTAGAACCACCGACTCCACTTAACCTGACATATGAGCAGTGTTTCCTGTATCGACGTAACATCCGAAAGGCATGTTTGACAACAAAAAACATGATCTTGATCTTGTTCCAACCCCTGGTGTTCCCAATTAGGTGCATCCTTTTGTGCAGCTCCATCATCTTCCATCCACCCAATGAGTGATCCCCAGGTGTCCAATAACAATACATTTTTAGTGGGGGTCTACTTTTCTATTTAATACGGGGGTCTATATAAATCCATCATCTTCCATCCTTCACATCCCTGCCGTGTCACACCCATCAGTTGCCCCATCGCGACGTCCACGACCTCTGCACCCTCCTGGGCACTCCTGCGGGCTCTCAGATTCCTCGCAGCGGAGATCAGACTCCAGTGGCTCCACCTGGACCAGCGGCCGCGAAGACGGGCGACGTGGAGCCGAACGGGCGGACGTGGCGAAGGCCGCAGATGTTTCACTTGAGATGATCAAATGATCAACTGAAGGTGCAGGAGCTTGGGATGTGGTGCCGAGAGACAAACACTAAGGATCAAGTCATCAAACGAGTGGTCACTTGCTGACAAGATCAGGCCGTGCAAAGTTTACAGAGAAGGTGGTGGCAAACACATGGGCCTTGGTGGCCTTGGCTGTGTCGCCTTGGTGGCCTTGCGCGTTTGGTAGCCTTCTTCGTTTGGTGTGCTTGATGTCTAAATGAAGAGTTAAATCCAAGCTCCGGACTGACTGGTAGCCCAACTCATCAAGCAGCCTGCAAACATTCCCACTCATGGTTCCAAACTCCACGACTGTGCCCGTGAGACCTATGTGCGATGAGATTTTAACAACCGCGTGCGTGGGTCGGTCAAGACCATCGTACCACTTCGTCACACCGTGCATGTTCGCAGTTCCAATTTCGGGCTGTTCCACCATGTTCCACGATAGTACGCCATTGCACGAAAGGTATGTCAGAAATCCAGCGGACTCCGTTCCCTCCCAAACAAGGACGGCACCGACCACACCTGTCCACCAGCTGTCCACTGGATCCGCCCCGCTCGAAGCGAAGCTCATAGGCGTGCAGCTCCAGAAAAAGCCTGGGACCAGCTGATGGGCGGTCGACATCCTGTGCTGGTTGTTCGTCTCTTTCCTCTTGAAGCTGGTGTACCAGGGTGATCTCCTGGTGTACCAGGGTGATCTCTCCGTACCACAGAAAATTGAGTTGAATGCTGAAGATGACTGCGAATGCTGCACTACGATACTGGCGAGAATCTTTGTAGATCTACTGGCGGTGACCGGCCTTGCTCTGCATCAAGTCAACGGTTTCTGTCACACCACATGCTCAACTGTTCGAAGGAAACCATGAAGGTCAAAAGGCCAGGTCTGTGTGAAAGACTTTCTTGTATCTGTTCACCAACGTTTGCCAAGTATTCCTTCGTCCTTTTATTTGGCAATCTGCATGTTGCTCAAACAAATGTCCATCACCCCCTTCAGATCCTTCAATTCCTTCTGCCAGAATTATGCCAGACGAGTCATCTGAGTCCGTGCTCCGTGCTCATGTCCTTTCCGCTTTTGATCCTTCGAACTTCTGGCCGCTCCGGGGCCCACCGTGGTCCGGTATCCCCCGGTTCCCCGCCAAAGCACAAGGGCTTCGAGGCCAAGAGCCGCTGAGCGCCATGAATCACCTGCTCCTCGGAGGGAAAAATGGCATAAAGGGTGGCTTGGGATTCGATAGGATTTGTGGATGATCGGGGAGTGCCAGACGATGATATCACAGGGAGTTCTAGAAGATGAAGAAGATGAAGAAGAAGAAGAAAATGAAGATGATGATG